GGGAAACGTCTGAGAAGCCTTGATGATGTCACAGATGCACTCCATCTACCTTGGCCTGCCTCTAGCTCCTCTCTTAAGCATCTTCTACAACATTCTCTTTTTTTTATCCATTCACTTTATTTTTCCTTCTTTTTTCTCACATTCATTTATTTATTCAATTCACATTCTCCTTCTAGTGTTTTCTCCCTCTTATTCATTCCTAATGTGCTCTCCACCATTTATCCTTTGTTTCTTTCCCTTTATCACTTATTCATTCAGTTTTGTCTTTCCCTCTTTCTGCCTGGCTGAATTGCAGTTATCATTAGCTTCCACTGTTGGATCATGTAAATTCTAAGGCTCAAACTGGTTAACTTCCACTCTAAACTTTCTCTGCTGCATCTTGTCTTCTACCAAATCTGAGTCATAGTCCATATATTTGTATGAAAAATAAAGCAGATCTGAAGAAATATCAATCTATTCTACATGACACAATAGCAGCATCAGCTAATCACCTGTTATGTCATCATGAACGTTTCCTGTATTTTTCTGGGACTCAAATTTGGCTCAATAGCCCAGTGCACTTTCACCTGTCCACTTTGTCACCAAGGAGTCAATCTGTTGGGCTACCTGACCTCATCTGATTGCCTCATTCCTTGAATTTCTAAGAAATATATATATTTTTTTTATGCTGTTAGTATCATTGGTGTTGCGCAAATAAAATCAACAGACTGAAATTACAGTGACTATGGTATATAAAAATTCCCTCCCACAAAACTGCTGATCAGATTATTTTCACTGCTTGATGAGTGTTATTAATTTATACAAAAGAATGAAAAATTAAATTATCAACTTTAAGAATTCATCATCATTATCACCAACATTCTTGACATGATAAATTAATTGCTGTTTAGCTGTTCAGATCAAAACTCACTCTTGCTGGTGAAGTAATGGTAACTGAAATTGAATTTTCCTTTTATATTTTCAGTAAATGAACTTGGAATATGAACTGAAGGCATCTGCACAATGAATATAACGATGCATTTTTTCATTATTGAATGTTTGGTGATTTCTTCTGATCTGAGATAAACATAAATGGTTCTTTAATACTGGAACTCGATATCAGGGAACTGTGACTCTCTCTTACTTGAGTTGTAATAAAACCAATCTCTAGAAAACCTGATGCTCTCAATGTAGATATATAATGTAAGTTTTTACCTTATTAGTAGTATAGTGATATTTGATTTAATAAGAGAAAGATATTCACATCATATTTGCTAAATTAAAGATATTTTCATTTGCTGATTCTTAGATATGAAATACCACCAGCAAGATCTTTTTATTCACCTCATCAATTTTAGACCTATATAAATATCTAGATATCATATGTATTTCTGTGATTTCCGTGCATCTTGGCATGCAAAAACATAGGTTCTTACTTTCAGGAAAATTAAAGGAAAAATTGTTACACAACAACAGGTTACATTCTTTTTCAGCTGCACAAGAGAAAGATTTGAGAAAATCATCAAAGAGTATGGAGCATTTGGAATTTCGTGAATTCTGGTTGTTGTTTTCACTGGATCTAGTGCTTGGATCATTCAACACACACCACAGTGTCAGTATCAAAGGAGTATTATCATTGATATAGGTTTCTTCTTCTTGTCCATCAGCTTCTATTTGTCAGATTTATTAGAATATTAGAACTATGTTTTGCAATCTTTAATCTGAGGCTGGGCAGAATACCAGTGGAATCATTCTTCTTACTTATAGATATATGTTACTTCCCAATTAATTTGATAAGCAACTTTTGCAGGTGAACGTTAGTTTTTCTCCCCATCAGCTCTACAGCCTTCCTAGTATCTCTTTTAGCTGAAGCCTGATTGCATTTTACTCTTAGTGAAAACTCTTTACAAAATATAAGTTTTTCTTATGGCTGTGTCCCCCACTGCTTTCCCCACTCATAAGTGAAACAATTTAAAGTTTTGAGTGTTTTCAAACTGCAGGCAAAACAAAGGCACCATGATTGTTTAGACACACAAGAATTAAAATAAAACAAAATTAGGTGTGAAAAATAACCCAAAATAAAAAAAGCAGTAAAACATAACAAACATAGAACCAAAAGACTTTAAAAGCAAAAAACATTATAACTGCCACATGGACATTAAAATAAATATACACACAAAAACATATAAACAAAAAACTACAACTACAACACACGTAAGATAAGACACATGCTGTAAAAATATATCCAAAATTTTCTCTGGGTTGAGGGTGAATCTAATCTATTTAATTCTAACTATACAGAAAATCAAACTCTTTGATATGGAATAATAATAACATATCATGTATGTTTGTTGCATATATTTAATAAAATTTGTTCATGACGACATACATGTAATAAGGAACACAATAAGGTATTTGTAATAATGTTCTGATTTCTGATAACTAGAATTTTGGTTACCAACGTCACAAAATACAAGTTTCCATTTGGAATTATCAGCCAAGAAAGACAGATCAGAGTATGATGCACATATGAAAATGTATAAATATCTTAACACTTGTCAAAAAAACACCTGGATATATATATTATATTGCTTTCTCATATGGGAACAAAGTGAAAAAAAAAGAGAAAGCATGTATATATTCAGTATCATTTTACTTGATCCAAGGTACTGGAACGTCAGAAGTCAGGATCTTATGAGAAAATTGCAGCTAGAGATACAATGAAAAGTATAATCTATTCATGACAACGTCTTTGGCAAGGAATTTAGATTCCTTATTACTTCAAAAATAACATACTGTCATGAAAGAGACATGATACAGAGATGATAAAGACACTGTGCCAAATGAGATATAACCTCCATTCCAACTTTGTCACAAACTAATATATCAAAAAGATAAACATCTATATTTATTCACGTGGATATCATGTTTTTACTTTTTTTCTTTCATAAATCTAAATAATGGATGGGAAAAAAGAAGAACGAAAACCAAGTAACAGACAGAAAAAGGGTAAAAGAACAGAAAAAAAAGGATCAAACTGAAATCAATTCAAAGGAAGTCTTACCATACTCTCTGCAAGAGGTCCTGTTGCCATCATCCTCTGGGGTCAAGAGGGCATAGCCACTGACAATGACAGATCCCTGCTCTGCCAGCCGTGTTGAATCACTTGCTGCTAGACTACTGTCTGTTCTTGAACGCTTGTGCTTGGGTGACCCAGATGAACTATTGCTGGAAGAGGCAGAGCTGCAGGTTGACATTCTCCGTCTCTTTCCGGGATTAACTTCTGGGTTGCAAGGCTGTTTCTTACTTGCCTGGTTTAAGGTGTTTGCCTCAGAAGTATTATTATACTCCTGGATTACACCATTTGCATCTCTTATGATTGCACCAAGCATCTGCATACATCGGAGAAACTCTTCCAGTGTCACCTTGCCTGTCAGGTCACTGGCATCGACTGACAGTTGCAGGTCCTCTTCTTCAAACCACTCATGGCACTCCATGTCCATCTCATCAGGAATCCTGGTCACCATCTTCAAATATTCTGAGAGTTTGCAGTCTGACTTGCAGCTCTCAAAGCCCTCAAAGTCATTCACTTCACCCTTCTTGTTATTATTGTTGTTGTTCCCAAAGCCTTCAAAGGATTCAGGCTGTGAATCCTCATCACTGTCAAACAGGGCCTTTGGTGTCACCACCGGTGTCAGGTCGGGTGTCTCCTCATCCTCTTTGGTATAGCAAAGCAGGATGTTGCCCTCGTCATTCACCAGCACATAACTGTCCTCTTGCAGCTGCAGTTCCTGATGCTTGTCACTCTTCTCGTCAATGACATTCCTCTTCTTTGGGGGCTGTTCTTCCTGCTTTGTCTCTGTGACTCTTGTCTTTTTTTCTGCTTGAGCTTCTTCATCTTTTTTCAGCTTGCGCTTCTCTGTAACGTTCATTGTGCTGGGTTTGTCTTCCTCCTTGGTATTCACTTTGTCTCTCTTAATGCTCTTCTTCTCCTTCTCCTTCTTGGTCTCTCTCTCTTCCTTTTCTTTCTTATTATCTTTGTCATCCTTTTCCTTTTTGGGATCTTTGCTTTCTCGGTCTTCTTTCTTTCTGCTATCCTTGTCATCTCTTGCTTTTTTGTCTTTCAACTCTTTTCTGCTATCCCGTTCTTCCTTGTCCCGTTTGCTCTCCTTCTCATCTCTCTTCCTCTTCTCTTCTTTATTTTCACTCTTATGCTTTTCGTCTTCCCGTTTTCCATCTTTTTTGTGTTTTGATGAATACTTATCATTTCCCTCTACTTTCTTGTCTGTCTTCTGACTACTTTGTTTACTGTCTGATTTACTACTTGACTTACTTTCTGATTTGCTGGACTTTTTGTCTAGCTTCTCCTTGGATCTACTGTCAGGTTTATCATTTGACTTGCTCCCAGACTTCTCACTAGACTTCTTTTCAGACTTTTCGCTGACCTTATCGCTGGACTTGCTTTCAGACTTTTCATTTGGGGTGTCACGCCTGTTCTTGCCTTCTGAGGACTTGTCGCTGGACTGATGGCTAGAGCGTTCCTTGTCCTTGTCTCCTGAGCTCTTCCCTGAGCCTGAGCTGGAGCCTTCCTTGTGGGAGCTGGAGGAGGATTCATGGTGATGGCCTCTTGAACGGTCTCTGTCACCATCATGGTCCTTGTCCCTCCGGTGGTGCTTCTTGTCCCGGTCTCTGTGGGAGTGGTGGTCATCACGGGACTTAGAGTGTTTCCTGTCTTTCTCTTTGCTGTGGCGTGATTCCTTGTCCTTGTCCTTATCCTTGTCTTTCTCTCTGTCTTTCTCTCTGCTGTGGGAGTCATGCTTGCTCTTGTATTCACTCTTTCCCTTGCTAGACTTGTGTGATGATTCATAATCAGAGTAGTGTTTTTCCTGGTAGCGGGGGCGATCCCCATGCCGTCCTTTGTTATCACTGTCACTGAGTTCTGAGCTTGAGGAGGTGATTTCACCTTCAGACTTCTCAGACTTAGCTTTCTCTTCAGCTTCTGACTTTTCAGAAGTAACACTCACCTTTGAGATGGAGGCCTTGCTCTCTTGTGAATCCTCATCTAAACTCACCAGGCTTGTACCAGACAGCATTGTGTCATCCTCTTTCCCAGCTCCAATGCTGGAGTGAGAAGGTGTCTGCATTGGTGTCTCCGAGGAAGTTGGAGCTGGCTGACTTGTTTGAGAGTTACAAGGTTCTGGGGGCTTGGATTCCATATCTTCAGCCTCTTTCATGGGTTCACTTTCAAGGGAAGATTTGGATGCCTCTTCATCCTCAGCAGCTGGCTTCTCATCAACAAGTGGGGTGGAGGTGGTGGAGCGCAGATTCTGCATTGCTTTGGGGCTCTCATCCAGTTTTGAAAGATTCTCTTGTGATTTCCTACTGCTAGGTGATCCTTTACCTGAGAGTGGGGAGAAGGTAAGGCCAGAGGAGTTGGATGATATGCTGTCAAGAGACTGGTCATCGAAAAGAGGTAGAGGGGCTGGCTTGGCTGCTAGCATTGGCTTACTGTCCTGTTCTTCATCCAAGTTTAGTCTTTCAACATGCCCTGTGAGGGCATCTGGTTGATCTTCTGCCTTTTCATACTGGCTGTAGCTCCCAAATCCATCTTGAGCATTATCATCTACAGACTGAAAAAGTTAAAAGCAAAAGATGAAGGTAATTTACAGTAATGGAAAGATGTGGTGCTTCTAAATTTATTTCTATTATTTGATGCAACAGAGGGCATACACTGTCTTAGAGTTAGGAAAGACATGATTACAATAAGAAACAAATAAAAAAATGGCTACACTAACTAAATATAATACCGTTCCAACATATGACACACACCATGCCAGACCCAAAATATGTGCATGACTGCTTTCCCTCAATGAGCCTTAATATCAACCTTAGTCAACCCCAACTCTTATAGTTTCACCAAAGGGACCAAGCACACAGACCTTCATCACTGCATCGTGAGGTGTTGGCGGTGATTTGTGCAAGCTATCAGGGGACTCTCTTGCCAAGATGTCATCCTCCTCTGATGAGATGACATCTGTCTCCATGGGGATCAGGCTTGGCTTAGTGTCTATGATATTCATGCCTAGATGGGGCTGCCCAGTGTCTTGTGGATCCTTATTTGTGCCTGCTAAGAAATAATCATTCAGATTTAATTTATCACTTGATTACTTGAAATAGTCTATCAGTGACTTCCAAACTTCTTAAAATTGGCTCATTCAAAATTTGGGTGCCTCCTGAGTACTTTACATGACATACTGGCATCCAAAACATCTTTCACTTCTCTGTCAATAGGTTAAAAAAAATTCTGATCAGTGAGTTATTTCCTGAAATATAATGACATCCTAAAATCTCAGAGATCTGTCAATGGGTCACTAACCTTGTCTCTCTCTTTTGGGCTTGTCAATCTGCAGGAAGGTGTAGACGGTATCCTCCACATAGGGAAGAATTAGTGGCTTAATCTTCGGGTTCAACACCTGTGTGATGATGGCATCGATGCCGGACTCAAGGATGCCCAAGCTGTATGAGGGGAAAGAGATAAAAATCAAGAGGAGTGTGAGAGTGAGGAAAAAAAGTGAAGAAAGGAGAATGAGCAAATCAAGAGGAGTGTGAGAGTGAGGAAAAAAAGCGAAGAAAGGAGAATGAGCAAAACAAGAGAACAAAACAAAAAAATCTGAGAATAGAAAAAAGAGAAAAATAAGACGGAAAGAATGAAGTAAAGGAACTTGGGTAGAGGGAATATTTCTTTGAGTATAAACCCTTTTACTTTACCCTCAGCAATGAAACTAGCTAATTGTTTTTACTGAAACTGCACTGTACAAAACAAAGTAACACACACAGATGCATGTACATCACTAAAATTAACAACTCACTTTTGTACATGCTTGCGCACTCCATCACGCAGCTGGTTTTTGTTCAGGTCATTTTTCCATGTGTTCTTTTCCAAGAATTTGTTGACATGGCCTTCGACACGCTGCCGTAAGTTTTGGAAGGCAGGCTGCAAGAGAATTTCAAAGTGAATATAAAACAAATACGTTACAAAGATATTTTAATTTTCAAAATCAGGAAACACCTAATGGCATAATATTTTGGCACATCTAAAAAAATTATCAAAACTACAAGTTAGGCTTAGAGTTCAAGAATAGGTCATGGCTGGACAAGGAACCCTTTCTTAACAGTTTTAATCCCATACTGGCAGAAACAGCTAAAGTCACAATTCGCCCTTGTGCCGGCACACTAGAGCTCCTCATGCTGAGCTGAATGGGCCAACTGCAAGCAGCAAAGATAGGGCAGATTGCTCTTACAGTTCCTGGTGTAAAAGTGCTGGACAGTAAATTTTCGGCCCAGCATCATAGGATTATGACCTCAACCCCAACCTCGCCAAGTTGGCTATTCAAACCAAACCCATCTCAACCAAAAGGAAAGCTAACTATGTCAACACATGTGGACTGACTTGAATAGTAGGATGGCGGATGAGTTTGTAGTAGACTGACCTTATATAGTTCCTTCTGAACATCTTGGATATATTTTAAATACCATGAATGAGGCCGAGCATGACAAAAGATGGGCAAAATGCCTATCACAAACACCTTTCCTGAAATTCTACTGCCAAAGGGTAATGGGGCACTATGAATCAAGGAGTGAAGCCAATTATCGGGGGATGGGGAAAAATCTGCTAGGGTGACAGGTACTTCAGTAACATGTAAAGAACATATATAATATCTACTGTTACCTTGCAAAAAGCCATTCTTTTCAACAGCTTGATTGTCTCTTACTACTTAATCACCTGTCCACTTCCAAATATAGGAGCAATACTCATCTCCCTTCTTTCTTATTGTCTTTAAATGTTTATATAAGCAAATGTTTTCCTGATTACTTTGTGAAACTTGAAAATATAGTCAATTAGATCTGTAATAGATTATCCTGTGATAAAAGAAGCTAGCAAAGCTACAGACATTAAATGTGATTTATTTGCATGAAAGTCAATCTATGTTTTTATCTTCCTATCAAATATAGACCAACTTTTGATTTATCTTGGAATATAGGTGAAGGAATTTTGTTTACCTTTCCTGGAGCACATATCAAAGAGCTACATTAACTAATTGACACTTTAAACAAGCAGTAATACTGAACATCACTTGCCTAACACATATCTACTGATTATTTTTGCTACTCCTGTCATTCTGACCTTCATCACAAACTAAAGGATTTCCAGTAGTACACAAGGGTGAACCTATGCCAAGGTGAGATCTATCTCCAGGGAGGACACTATGTCCACCTGCAGGAACCTATTTCTCCATGTCATTACAGGTGGTGCATGATGTCATGTAAAATTGAAAATTAGGGGAAAAAAAATACTACATTACTTATTGTTACTGTTATTGCACAGAGGGTAAACTACTCGGACAGATAATATATAGTCTACTCAACAAAAACAGTGTATTACCATCTTGATACAGCATAACAAAGGACAATAATATACCCCAGATAATGGAAAAACAGCAAATATACACCTGCAGAAAAAGGGCTAATAGCATTCCAAAGAGGAGGCTTGGAGTGTTGATACAATGCATGAATGTTCCCATGGGCTGGGCCTGCAAGTCACATATCCAAAAAAAATTGCTACATAAGTAAACCTAATCCCCAAACCCTGGTTCATGTACCAGCCATAAAGCACCCAGATTTCTAGGGGTTAAAGACTATGGTACCCTGTTTGAAACAAGCATAGACTTACAGTGTGATAATTCAAGAGGAAAAGGGGGAGAGGCATGGGATTCCCCTTAGCAGGAGAATACCCTGGACGAACCCCTGATTCCCCATGGGTTTCCAAAGAATGAAGGGAGTAAGAGACAGAGACAGAAATGGAGAGAGAGAGAGGGAGAGAGCAACGGCTGTCTCTGGCAGATATATCAAACTTTCTTTTAATGTTTTTACTAGTAAATGATAACACTGGGGCCACAGTCACGACCAAACTATAAGATGCTTTGCTTGAATGCAAAGGCACTGATTTGGGTTGCAAAGTTCGGAAAATTTCCAAAATAAATCCACTTAAAAAACATTCCATTTGGTAATAACAGCTCCTGTCAATATATACTAACCAAACACAGCAGCCATAGTGCATCAGTTCCACATGATAGTATTCAATATATAATTCACTTGCCTTTTTTGTTCTTTACACCACAATTACTCTCATATACATTAAGCCCATCTTGCATATCAAGGTCAATATTGTTACTGTGGTACCTTGGGAATCACTGTTGCATTGATCTAAAACATATTCTTAATATGTATGGCTGAAATTCTTTATTAGTGGTGTTTATTTAAAGAAATATTAAGAACTGACTGGGTTTATTAAATTTCTGAAAACAAATTTCTAAAATACGACTTCCATTTACGCATACTCAGTACATGCTAAGTAATCACTCCATGAGATGATAAAGCAAAATCTAAAAGAATCACACTATTTCTACATACATGCCTCCATCCCAGAATCAGACGTACAAGAAATAAGAAAAGAAAAAAAATAGTAATACAACAACGATGATGTATTGGCTTACCTTCGTGTCAACATCAGCTAAGCATTCTTTTCGAAACTGATCGAATATTCCTTTCGATTTTAACTGTCCAACGATGGCTTCCACAAGACGAGGGTCTCCCGGAGGAAGCTGCGTCACTGGGATGTCCATGGCAGGCATAAAAGGGGCTGAAATAGGTCAAGAAGTGGCTGAAATAGGTCAAGAAGTGGCTCCCGTCCCGTGCAGCTCCTTCCCCTTTCCACCAAAACAAAACACAAACAACTGTCGGGCGCATGGCTAAAATTTTTCAAAGCGCTCAGGTATATATGCTTTTTTTACGCTCTTTCTCTTTTAGATAGATTAATAAACGATTTTTTGCTTTTATCTTTTTTTTGTAAATATCAAGAGAGATTCAAATAATCTCCCGTCGCACAAAAAAGGACAACCGACTAATGTCCGCAGGGTTAAATTATTTCAATTTTTCTCATCACTTTAGTATTACAACAACT